CTTAATTAAAATTATACTTAGTGGTCAAAGGAAATATCATACTACAGGAGTAGGTTTTGTACTCCTATATCAAATTTTTATCACACTTGTGATAAATTTTATAGGAGTTTTAACTTTTTTTTCCCTTTTGAACAAAAATTATAGTTTTTTCAATAATTATAATTATTACTACATTTTGATGAAAGTGCAAATTTTAACTTTATTTTTAACTATGTAAAAGGTTATAACTTGTAAGATTACTAGTCTTTAAAGAATCTTAAATTAAAAAGAGGCAACTATAAATAACATTATACAAAAAGTATAGTTTAATGTTACTATTTTTTTTAGACTTGAATAATTCAAATTAATATTAATGGATAGAATAGTTGAATTTTTTTTGATATCATACTAGATTTATTTAATTTTTTTTTTTTTTTTGTCTGCCTTGCTATTTTTTGTAGTAATTTGTTGTGAGAGGTTTTTTTTTTCTTCATAAGACAGTTTTTTTTTTTTTTAATTATGAATAGTTTAATCTCAAATATTAGAAATATTTGTGAAGAAGTTGTTTATAATAATTTTGATAAAGATTTTGAAATTTTTGATAATGGAGATAACTCCAAAAATCTTGACAAATCTGTATCTACTTTGTTATTAACATACAACACAAATACTATGAATATTAATGCAAATATATATGATCTTCACTTTGATGATATGGCAATAGAAGTTGCTAGAGTTTATGCTAATTCAGTATCACAAATATTACAAAAACAAGTTGAAGAAACTGGCATAGATTAGTTAGAATCTGATCTTGATACAGCATTGAGTGAAGAATCTTTGTAAGAAGTAGATAGTTATCAGAAAGATGAATTAGAAATAGAAATTGGTTCTAAAAATACTAAACAATCATATAGCATATGTGTTTTATTAGATGATTTAAATAGAATATTATAGTGTTGTTTTAAACTTGCATATAGGTTATTAAAGCAATTTATTAGTATATAAGAATTAGACTTTAAAACAATAAATGAAATGATTTCACAAAATAATATATTAAATATATTTATAGTTTGTAAAAGTCATTTTAACTATGATAATAAACAATTACATACAATTCAAAAAAAAGAAACTTCTATAAAAAAATCATTAGTTAATCGAAAAAAGTGTTTATTTTGTAAACAAGATAAATACTTATTTAGCTATGAAGATTATTATAAGGCATATTTATAGCAATTATGTAGGTGAAATATTCTAATAGATTGTAATAGATTAAAAGTTTATCTAATATTTTATAAAAATGATTTTACTAAATTAGCAACTAGTTTTAAATATACACGCTATATTTGTATATTATATTTTAAGACAGTAAGTAGATATTTATATTAGTAATATGAGCGAGATATAGTTCTTGCATATAACTATACAGAATATTATTATAATAACTTTACTAAATCACTTCAACTTATAGCAAAATAGATAAATGAAATATCTGAATTCATGAAAGAGATATACAAAATCTTTTTTTTATAAAATTTCAAAGGCCACTATATCTTTTTTTGAAAAATCTAATTATTTTTAATATAACTCATATTAAACTTGAGTTTATCGTATAGAGCGGTAATACTAAAAATAATTACTGCACATGGCGCAGTAATTTATTTTTTAAAACCACTCTATACGATAAACATATTTACTTAAACTTATTTTTTACTATTATACTTAGGCGATTTTTTAAATTTTACTACTTTTTTAATCTCACATAATTTATTAAGATTTTATTATATTATACAAAGAATATATTTACAAATTTTGAAAATAAAATTTTCTACGTTATAATATTTACAATATATTTTCTAAAAGTTTTACTATTTTTAAGAATGTTTTTAACTATAAATTATATTTTTAATCTTCGTAACTTTGACAAGATTGAGTAATTTCATTATATCTTCTTTATATTCTTAATATAATTCTGTAATCTTATAAAGATAAAAAAATTAGTATGTCTGTATCATGCTATGAAATTTTACTACCTTCAACAAACAGATTTGAACTATAAGATCTTTTCACTACAATGCTATGAAAATTCACTACATCCTTCAAACATTAGCTTAATCCTCATTTGATATTCTGACAAATTCACATATCAAAATTCAGAATCAAACTATTATGTTCTAGTAGCAGTGTATACAAGATCTCAGCACTAAGTAAGAGAAATCTTACCTTTTATTAATATCATATTAATAAAGAAATGTTTCTGGCCAATATCGAATTAAAAAACAATAATAGCCAAAATCTAACAGCATTAGTTCAAAAATTGCTAAAGTGTATTTGAATATTTTTGAAGAAATAATCTTATAAATAAAAAGTTAAATATCAAAATTAATCTGATATTCTTCTGGTAATATGTTTGAAATTAAAAGAATAAGTAAAATTAAAATCGTTAAGATTGAAAAAATAATCTTGCAAAGCATTTTGAATTAATTTTAATAAAATTTGTATAAAATTTGTGTAAAGATTTATATAAAATTTGTATAAAGATTTGTAAGAATTTATAATTTGTTACGAATGAATCGTGGAGATTTGCAATTCAAAAAATCAAATTTTTATATTTCATCCTGATTACATATCTTGAATTGCAATTGGTAGATTAAAAAAATTATACGATATCAAAACAAATTCTTGGCAGCATTCTAAAATTAGAAATATTAAAAGATAAGAGATTTCTTGTTGATTGGTTCTCAAAAAATCATACGATTTTTTTTTAAGATTTTAAAAATATTCTTATTTTAGAAAATTAAATAAATCCTCTCTCTCCTTTCTCCTTGTAATGTGATGTCAATTAAAATTTTTATGATGTTTTGAATGCCTTGTGTTTATATCATGTGAGAATTAAAAATTCTTACATAACAACACTACTCATTTTCAAAACATCTCAAAATTTAATTAAAAATATTGTAATGAGTTAAGAATTTTATTTAATTCTCTTGATATCTATTTTAAATAAATCACCTCCAGAGTCAGCTAGGCTCTTGTTAGTTGTAAGCAAGCTTGTCAAGAATTTTCTATATCCCAATTTTCTATAGATTATTTTGGAATCCTAATAATATCTCCATATTTTTACGTGATATACTCTACAGTTCTAGTCTCGAGTAAATCGTGTAGTAAACATATCAATTAATTAACTTAATTAAAATAATTTTATTACTAAACTATAAATAAATATTAAATTCTTTTAAAATTAAAATATTAAATGGAAGAAAGTATAACAGATATTCAAGAGCAGAATCGTGCTTTGAAAGAATAGATAAAAAACTTAAAGATAAAAAATATTGAATTAATTCAAAATAATCATGAAAATTTGCAACACAACTTACAACTTCTTGTTGATAAAGAGGAAATATTAAAAGAAAATGCTAATATCAAACAGAGAATAGATGAACTTGAATTGCGAGTTGAAGAATTAAATAGTAAAATATTGATTTAGAAACAAAAAATAAAGATGAAAAACAAAAAGTTATCAATTTATCTATAATGAACTCTGAACTTTTAGAAAAATTGCAATATCATAAACAAGTTGATTTCACTGAATTTCAGAATAATATTAATAATTACTTTACAAGTTTTGTAATAGGGTTTTTGAACTTTTTAATCAGTGATTATTATTTGAATATTCTAAAAAATATTTGGGAAATTCATAATATTCCATATATTAACAAGATTTTTAAAATATTCAATTATATCTGTATTTTGTGGACTAAATATATACTTGCTATTTCTTTTGTACTATGGTATCTATTTACTACTAAAACATTTAGAAATCTTGAAATAATCTTTATCATCTTTATTATTAATATTTTAGTAATTTCTTATATTAATTATTCTTTAGATACATATTTTATTTTGCTATCGTATAAAAAATCATGTAATTTTTATTAATAAAATTTTAAAATAACAATATAATTAATTAAATATATAAGTAACTATTAATTTATTCAATTAAAACCAAAAAATGTCTAACATAAATTTTGAACAAGAATCTGAGAATTCTCCTTAGAAAAAAATTCATCTTACCTTCAAGATTCTTGATCATTGGATATGAAGAATCAAGAAACTTCATAGAACAAAAGTTTACAATTAGATCAGACTTGTTTCAATTGATAATATAACTTATATTGAAGATAAAACACAAAACTCTAATATAACATTTATTACAGATATCTCTAATTACAAATATATTCGATCTTATACATAGACTGCTTATAAATCAAAAAAAAATAATACATATTATATTATGACAAAAATTAAGAAAGATAATAAATATAAAACTTTATTATTTCATCGATTGCTTCATCCTGAATGGAATATAATCGATCATCAAAACAGATATGGAACAGATAATAGAAAACTTAATCTTAGAAAAATTACTCATAGTTAAAATATATTAAATTGTAGATTACAAAAAAATAATATATCTGGATATAATAGAGTTAGTTATGATAAAAATAATAAAAGATAGATGTTTCATTATTATGAAAATAAAAAACAAAAAATTAAATAGTTTTATATTACAAAAAATTGAACTTTTGAGCAAGCAAAACAATAATATATTAAGTTCAAGTTAGCTCATGATAAAATTACTAGAAATCAAAATAGTTACAATATTTAAATTTGTGTTTTATTAAATAAAGATTGATATATATTTAGCCTTTACAAATTATGAAATCTGTAAAGTTTTTAGTCTCACTACGTAGAGGTATATATCTTTGAGACCAAAAAAATATTTAATAAAACTTTCTATGAGGGAGATATACTTTCGTAGCTCCTAAGCCATATGAAATTAATTTTCACTCTTAAAGAGATTCAGAATTAACTCCTATGCAAAGTAACCTATAAAGTTTTTTTATAGAATTTGTTTGATATTTAGATTCAGAACTTGAGCAATATCAACCAACTCAAGAACGAGTAATAACCCAAAGATCCCTTAGTTAACAGGTAACTAGACTCGATATCTCAGGAGTCTATTCAGTTACAGACTGAATATCTTATTTGAAATTCTTTTCTTTTGTTGTGAGCATCAGAAAATTTAATGACTTTTACTCAATCTGAAAAGAATTACTTGTCAAAATACTAACCCCATAAAAGAAACAAATTTTTTGTTTAATAGAAATATCTATCAATGCTAAAATCTTTAAGACCTTCTAAAGTATTTTTTTTTTGACCAATTCCACTTCTATACTATATTCTTGTTCACGATGATATTACCGAAGGAAATGCTTTAACATAGTTTAGACTTAGGTTATTATGTACTTCACTGACAAAAAAATCAGCTTCTCTTCTAAGATTTGCTACAGCTTGGTTTAAACTTTGGAATTACATATCATATTTGTGAACAAGAAAATATGTATTTCATCAAAGTAAAAAGAAGTGAAAAATCATAAAAAATCAAAGAAATTGTTGATATATATGAGAATTTTTTTATGCAGCTACAAATGTAGATTAATCACAAGTTTTAGCTACAAAATTTATTATTGACATATATTATCTATGAATTACTAAAATTAGTTAGATAATCAGATGATCATATGTTTGATACTTTTAATGATTAAAAATTTTTTGAACTAATCAGATTATTTTGATAATAAAGAACAAGTTTTATACTCATTATAGATTTATTAACAAAAGAAATAAAAGTCAAGCAGAATTTTTAAGACAACTTTAATTTTACATCATTAAAATTTTTTATTATACAACTTTACAACTTAAAATTTTTTTAACTTTAAAAATCTTTACAAAAATGT